GTGCCCAAGTGCATGCACCTGAGTGCTGTCTCGCTCTCTCTCTCTCTAGCTCTCTCTCACCATATGGTGTATCATCCTCCAGGAAGGGTGACAGCTAGGGTAAGGCAAGAAAAGGTTCCTTGGCCACAGCATTTAAAGAGGCACTCATTCCCAAGTGCAGCCTCTGTACTTGTTCAACACCAGGAGTGAATACCTCCCTAAAAGGAAAGCTCCCAAAGTGCAAACTTTATAAACTTTTCTTCACATTATTCCTGGAACACCAAAACATCTTCTAATTAATATCACAGCTTCTAAACTCCATCTTCAGTTCAGTATACTGAAGCATATCGCTCGCTAGCAGACCTCCCTGCAATAACTATTTTATTAGTACTCTTGCTTAAAGTTTCCAATGGTCCCACTGGCTTATAAATAAAACCCATACTCTTCTACCTATCATTAAAGTGTTTCATGATTTGGTGCCATCTCACTTGCTGTTGGTTGAATTGTATCCCCCAAAAAGACACGTTCAAATCCTACCCCTCATACCTGTAAATGTGACCTTATTTGGAAGTAGGGCCATTACAGATGTAGTAAAGTTAAGATGAGGTCTGGATTAGGTTACTTTAATCCAATGACTGCTGTCTTTATACGAAAAAGGGAAGAGAGATCTGGACAAAGAGACACAGAGGAGACACAAGAAAGAAGGCCATATGAAGATACAGAAAGAGACTGAGTGATGCATCTACAAGCCAAAGAATGCCAAAGACTGCCATGAGCCACCAAAGCTAGGAAGCCAGGAAGGATTCTTCCCTGGAGCCTTCAGAGAGAACATGGCCCTGCCAAAACTTGATTTCAGACTTCTGGTCCCTTGACTATGACACAAAAAATTTCTGCTGTTTTAAGCTACAAAGTTTGTGTTAACTTGTTATGGTAGCCCTAGGAAATTAACATACAACCCATTCAATTCTACCCCCAGTGCTTCCTAACGTGCCCCCTTTATTTAGGCAGAGGTCTATTCCCTGTCCCTATCTACCAATTAATTGCCTATGTCTTTGTCCTTAACCTCGATTAAAAGGACAAAGCAAAGCAGTGCACACACCTATAAATTGTATATAAATTGTAGAATTGGCATCTTCTGGTACTCTGCCAGGCAGGGCTACTGGTCCCAAATCCTGAGTCAGAGCACACCTGGTATAAAGACAGTTGCACACATGGGTTAACTTAAAAAAAATGTTGAGAGGATATTAATTTTTTTTCATAAATGCTTAAAGTTAGAAGTAAAACAATTCCATCCCTGTCATGTTTTCTGTTCATCAAAAAGAAAAAAACATGTTTAAGTGAGAGACTAATTTATAAAAGAGATCATGCAAAGCTATAGAAGTCCTTCCTTGGCTACTTACCTCTTAGCTGTCAGAAAACGCATGAATTACAGTGATTTTAAACACCTGGACCAAAAATGACTTACAAGTGGTAATTCAATAATCTGGAACTTAAGCAAGGTTGCCCTCATTATTGTTCCCATTTCAATTGTTGGAAACAGTGTATTAAAAGCTCCTCAAGGAATAGGGAGGTCATTTATCCTTTTTCAAAAATGATCTTATATGATAATACAAGTAAAATAAATACAATTCTTTTTAATACGGTAGGGACAGGACATCTTATGGCACACACTGATTGCTCAGTTACGAATATAAATCATGCCAGAGATTGGAGGGACAGTACCTGGAATGGAGAAAGTGATCGCCCTGCTGTATCCTGGTTAGTCAGTTACACCTGGAGCCCTGAATACCCCTGGTGGGTACCACACCTTTGAGGGAAGTAGACAACCTGGAAGGTATTCAGGTGAGTGAGCAAGATAGAAAAAAGGCTTGAGGAAAAGCAGCAGAATACAGTGAGGCCTAGCTTGAAGAGAGAGAGAGAGAGAGTGTGTGTGTGTGTGTGTGTGTGTAGTAAAAATCAAATTTAATTTTTGTGCCCCGAAGTGTAAAGCTAATGTCAATAAATGAAAGTTATTAAGAGGACAAATTTTGAATTGTCAAAAGACCAATTCCTAAAAATCAATTTAGTAATTGTGAATAGTCCCTGGAAATGTTCGTGCAAAGATATGTAACTTCTCCACAACAGTATCTTACTTATCTTCACAGCCCTAGAGCATACCACAATTACTCCCATGTATTAAGTGACTAACACACATTTGATAAATGAAGAGAAATTTAAATGGTCCCATCTAAACCTAGGATTCCAATATTTTAGGATTCTAAAGAAGCTCAACCATGAGTCAGTGACTAGTGGGTCACATAATCATAAATTTCCTTATGTGGGATATGAATCCCTCAGGAAAGTAAAGAAGGATCCCAAACACCTGTTAGGAACATTTTAGGTAGTATCATGCAGCAATTAAGCATAAAATGTGAAACACTTAACAAATTCAAAGATTCAAATACAATTATTTACATATACACTTACCCTCTTATTCAAAACAAAAGTGCACTGCAATTTATCAAATCATTAGCACAGACATTACCATCAGTGCTTTCAAAGGTATTCAAAAACATTTATTGAATATTAATTGTGTGCCGGGCATGTCTAGTACTTCCAAACAATTTAGCGAGGTAAGTATTAATATCTTCACTTGAAGGCCAAGGGAGTTATGTAAGTTGTCCAAGTTCAGGCTGCTGCTAGCCCATATAGAGCATTTGAGCAAATTTTTTAAAAAACAAGGTACCTCTTTCTCAAGACATTTTACTTCCATTTGTTAGAAACTGTGTCATAACATATGAATTTTACTAGAGCAAGAAACTTTACTGTCCCCTGCCATAAAACTGCCACAATATTCAAATTGATAATATCTATTATATAAATAGTACACACTTTAGATAGGTTTCTTTGTGCAGTGCACAATCTACTCAATAGTAAATGACAATTCTGTATGAGCTCCGATAATGAAGCACCAGGAATATTACTCCAAAGTACTCCCATTAACTCTCAACCTAAATGAAAATGATCAAGAACTGACATGAATTAAATGACCCTCTAGCTGCATAGGACTACTGTCTCCTTTCAGCATTGCTTCATACTCAAAGCACTCATAAGATATATTTATGTGGATGTAAACCCACTTGAATACATAGAAAGCAACTAATGCTGAATGGATAAGAAGAATTTCTCAGAGAGCCCACCATCAGCATCTTCCAGATATGAACTGCTTCTCCAAAGCCTGTTTTTACCTAAAAGGCAAACTGGAAAATATTATTGAGATCAGTATAAAATAGAGATGCCTGGGTTCAGTCAGTTAAGCGTCTGCTTTCGGCTCAGGTCATGATCCCAGGGTCCTGGGATGAGTCCGGCATTGGGCTCCTTGCTCAGTAGGGAGCCTGCTTCTCCCTCGGCCTGCTGCTCCCCCTGCTTGTGCTCACTCACTCTCTCTCTCTCTGACAAATAAATAAAACCTTCTAAAAATATTTATTTTAAAAAATTAGTATAAAATAACTGCTCTCACGTCAACACACACTCAGTCCAAACCTGCAGGTCTTAATTATTACAAAAACAACTTGAATCAGATTTCACTAAGATGTCAAAGTGCCTCAGACCAATATTCAGGCAAGTTCTGGAATGAAGATATTTCGATAACAAAAGTTCTTATGAAAAGATTTTGTCTTTTCCTAGGGGAAGATATCTCACAGTGTGAAATGGCCTGAACACCCAATGAAAATAAAAATTCCTCAGAAAAAGCAGTGTGTGTTTATGTGGTGTTTTATTTATCCAAACCACCCTTTTTGGGTCTCTATTAGGTTTTGTGCTACATACTGAGAACACAGTGATGATCAAATTCAGACCATGTTCTGCCCTCAGTCCAGCAGACAAAATTAATGTAAAAAAAGGAGTGTGATATGTGCTACCATAGAAATCTAGAAAAACTGTGATAGGCCCACTTGTTCTGTTCTCCATACATGATTTCTTAGAATATAGGTAAATAAAGCTTACAAAAATATAAGTAAGCGTTAACATTCACTTAAAAACACTAATCACTACCATCATACCTGGCAAACAGTAAATATGTAATAGATGTGGAATGCATAAATAAATGGACTTTCCAGCTTACAAATTAGAGTAGGCAATAAGCAAACATCCACATCAATTATAAAAGACGTGTTCATGAACACAAAATATTTTTAAATAGCCAGAAGCCTAAGGCAACTTGAATTGAGAAGAGAGGCCATTTAAATACAAACCTCATACTGACCAGCTTAAAACATACATAAATTATTTGTGATGTCTCTTAGGGCTATTTAAATTATTATTTTCAGCACCTCAGTAGCACATTTATTTTTATTTGCAAAGTCATGTGGGCTTTTTTTTTCCCCTAAATCCCAACCAGATCTATCAATCTGGCTTTGGCAAGAGTAATCAATTATGAGGAGCTCTAATAATTTCCACTGTTTTCAGGCATCCAGAAAGTATCTGGGTTTAAATGCGAAAGAGAGGCAGAGGCTCTCTCGGCGTCCAGAGGGAATCTATTTTCACGAATTCCAACTTGAGGCGGATAATGTGAGATCAAGGTTTGTAGCTTCGACAATTTCAACCACCGTTTACTAACCAAGCCTCTCCAGAGAGATTTTCCCGAGAGAGAAACAAAACGCTACGTACGGTACTCACTTTTTCCTCTAATTCTGTGCTTTAAACTTTTTTTTTTTTTAACTTCATCTCACGTTCTACTACACAGGACCCGCGGATCGAAGGCGGTCGGTGCCGGTCCGTCTCGTGAGCGCCTGCCCGGCACCTTACGCCATCAAGCAATTCCAAAATGCCCTGTGGTGACTGCACTAGACAGTGAGCCATCTCACACAGGAAGCTCAGAAGTTGGCACGTTTTTAAACATACTCGTAGGCGATGTCTGATGAGAAGAATCTCAAAACTCTAGAATTCAAAGAGGCCTTTACACTGTTTAAAATACGGTTATTGTCAACAATTTCTTTTTAAGTCTGTGAGCTTCTTCCTCCCTAATTCCCACCACCACTTACCGGAAAACAGTTCCAAAGTTTCTACAAGGAATCTATGGAACTTTAGAAGAGGAAGAAAGGAGGCTGTAACCAGGGCTCAGACTCACGCGCCGCCCACACGGTCGCGGCGCGCCTGCGCCCCTGGCCTTCGCCGCTTCCGGTCCTCTCTCGCCCGCCCCCGCGGCACCCTGGTCGGCGCTTGCGCAGAGGACCCGGCCCAGGGGCCTGAGTGGACACCTGCAGGACCCCAGTTGTCTAAGGCCCCGGGAAAATAATGGACACTTCACCGTCGCCGTTGCTGGAAAGAGCCGTTTGTGTTTGGGCTTTGATCTTTTCTTAAGCTCCCAAGTAGGCTTCATAAAGCCCGTGTGGACTTTTATTCCTGAATTTTGGCCCAACTCCTCAGGCTTAACCTACTGGCCTCAAAAATATTGGGCAGTTCCATTGCCTGTCTACCTCCTTGTAGCTATAGTAATCGGTTATGTACTTTTAATTAGAATAAACATGAGTACTAATTCACTCAGTTCCGTTCATACAATCACAGATAACTATGCTAAAAATCAACAATTAAAGAGATACCAGGGCGCCTGGGTGGCTCAGTCGGTTAAGCGACTGCCTTCGGCTCAGGTCATGATCCTGGAGTCCCGGGATCGAGTCCCGCATCGGGCTCCCTGCTCGGCGGGGAGTCTGCTTCTCCCTCTGGCCCTCCCCCCTCTCATGTGCTCTCTCTCAAATAAATAAATAAAATCTTTAAAAATAAATAAATAAATAAAGAGATACCAGAGAGAGGCCACCCCAGCATCAAGAGACAGTCCTATTAGTCATTTGTGTAGTGGAAAAATTATGCACCAAAATGAATAGTACATAGCCTAACACCAAGCATGTATTGTAAGTTTTTGACATAATAATTTTAACTAATTATTTTGACCATGTCCCTTAATGCCCGGTATTGAAATGTGTGCGTGTGTATGTATATAACTTCTCTTAGATTAAGTCCCATTCATATTATAAACGTTCTCAAATATTAGTCATTAACAGACAGAATAAATAAAATACTGTATTACGATTGGGAAATATATGTAACTACCCCATAGCACACTTGCAAAGAAAATCCATTTCTTAGTAACTCAATGAAATTTTGGAACCATTTATGCCTACAGTTTTGTTTTATATTGGTATTCAATACAGTTTATGGAGAACAATTAAATAGGAGCAGACAATTTGAATTGCACAATTAAGGTGCCAAAAAGCAGATTCCAAAATACTATAAATTTTGTATACTGAAAGACTGATAAGTTAGTTCTTGATTCAAAAAGAGAAATAAGTAAGTTTTGATTTCTTTTTGAAAAATAGACATTATGTTTGCTCTCTGGGACTGATGAATAAATACAGGTTTCTAGCCTATCTTTAGTAGGTGTGTGTATGCAGATTTGATAAGGTACTGCACAGGCAAAAATGTTAAAAATCCGTATATATTAGCAACATAAGAAAATCATAAAAAGAGGTGCAGATCTTTCTGCCCCTGGGTCCTCTCCCCGGCTGTAATAAAAGCACATTTTAGGGCACCTAGATGGCCCAGTCGATTAAGCCTTCGTCTCTTGGTTTCGGCGCAGGTCATGATCTCTGGGTGGTGGGATACAGCCCCATACAGGGCTCGGCGTTCAGCATGGAGTCCGCTGAAGTTTCTCTCTCCCTCTCCCTCTGCCCCTCCCACTGTGCTCTGGCTTGCAGTCTCTCTCTATCTAAAATAAATAAATAAATTTTTTAAAAAAGAAAAAAGCACCATAAAAATTTTTTTTAAAAATCACTAAAAGAGAGGTTTCCTCAGGTACTTACAGGGTCGAATTTTTGTGCTCTTCTAGCTTTTTTCATTAAAAAAGTTTCCCATTACCCTTACAAGTTTGGATACAAATAAATATTCCTAATACTTCCTTCCAGGCCTATATAAATTTCCCCCAACTTCACTCTTCTCCTCTACTGAAATCAAATGTACATCTGGTTTACGAAGACGCAGCATAGTGCTAGGCAACTAGTAAGTAAGTACTCACTTTCATTCAACAGATATTTATTGTAAATATATGTCAACATTGTATTAAGTGCTGGAGTACAAGGGAGTACAAAAATACATAAAAAATAGCCAGCATTCCTGATTTGTAATTTAAACAAATAAAATGAATACAAAAACAAATAAAATTGAACAATAAAGAGAAGGAATAGAATGGAATGGAATAAAATGCTAAAATGAAAAGGAATAGGAAAATTATTTTTCTTTTCTTAGCTCCTCCTTACATAATTATCATACCTATATTACTATAAAAAGCTTAAGGACATAATCTATCCTATTTTTTGCAGTATCTTTAACACCTGCCATAGTGGAGAATATAAATTTAAGTGAGTAAATAAATAAATAGTAAGATGTTACACAAGAGAAACAGAAAATGCTATGAGCACTAAAACCAACACTGTGAATATAACTACCTCAAGCACTAAAGAATCACCTTATTAATTGTTACTGAAATAAATCATGTAAATGTTTTCTCAGATTCTTATTTTTTGAAATCCATCATTTATGCCTTTGAAGTGGGGACTGAAGTTTTAGAAGTGACATTCTTATTGATCTTTACAGTAAAAACTAAATCTTTCAAGAGTAGTTCAGGCTGGATTTCTCAGTTTATCCTAACAGGATGTAATTTTGTATGTAAGTATGCATGTAGTTTTCTAAATATTAAAATATTCTTTTTAATCATATTCCTCATGGAGAAATTGTCTGAACAAAAACCAAACGCTGAAGCACGGCCCCAAGCTTCTAAACTGTTTTTACTGAGTGAGAGGAGACCCTGACACCTTATTACCCAATCCTGCTGGAAACTCTGGCCTGCAGGAATTAGCAGCCCGTGGGAGCTACAGATCTGAAACCTGGAACAGGTCTGAAACCTGGAACAGGTTTGAAACCTGGAACAGGGCGCCAGAAGTCTGAAACCTGGAACCTGTTACATAAAGCCCCATGCTCAAACATGCACATCTGACTTCCACCCAGGAGATAGCCCTGATCTCTTTAGAAATTGTAGAGTAAGCCAAGAAATCAACTCCAAGGATTATGTGCTCTGCTTTGCTTCAGGGGCCCCAGTTTACATCCCAATGGTTCTGAGAAGTTTCCATGACCAAACCTAAGAACAAGAGGCAGAGACCTGAAGGCACACAAGTGACCCATGCTGGCTACTCTGTGGACACAGGCCGGTTCTTACGCGGCTCTGAGGAATGCAAACGGTACGTTCAGGATTGAACTGCTTTATCTTCCTTGTACGTAAATTATTCATTACTCCCTCCTTTTGCACATTTTGTCCTCCATTTTCTCTGTGATCGCCCTGCTTTCATTTTTCCAGTTCTTATCTAAGCTACCTCAATTGCCTTGGGCTCTGCTCCCCTCAGAAACTTAAATAGGATACCAGATTTATTAGCTAAAAAACTGAGTCAAGACGGACCATGAGAGACTATGGACTCCCGGGAAACAATCTGAGGGTTTCAGAGGGGAGGGGAGCGGGGGGATGGGTTAGGCCGGTGATGGGTATTAAGGACGGCACCTATTGCATGGAGCACTGGGTGTTATACGCAAACAATGAATCATGGAACACTGCATCAAAAACTAATGATGTACTGTGTGGTGACTAACATAATATAAAAAAAAAGAACTTAGTCAAAATTTATTTTCAACAAATCAGGGAGCAGGGAAAAAGAAGCTGCTTTGTGATGTCTTTGATACTCAGCTTTTCAGAAAGCTATTGCTTAAATTATTGTTTTAAATCTTTGAACTATGTGTCTTAACTTTTTCCGATGGCACGCTAACATTGCACAAAACATAGAAAGTTACGGAAACTCATTTCTGTAAGTCAGTGCCCCCACATGAACAGCAGGGGTCAGTAGCATACCAAGAATTGTGGAACCGGCCCCAGGCTCTCGGAAACACTGCTGAATTGCTGCCCTGGGTCTGTGTACAACCCCACGATGATCTCAGCTCTCAGATGAAGTCTTTTGTTTTGTGTCTTTACAATGCACTGTTCAGTCTTCTATATGAGTTGTGACTTATTCAGACAGCATTTCATTGTGACAGTTTAACTTAAAAGAAAGAAAGGTGAAAGAGAAAGAAAAAAAGGAAAGAGGAAGGAGAAAATTAAAATGCGGCCAACTGAAACACATAGACAAGGAAGAAGTGATCTTGCCTATACTTCAAGTTTGTCCCTTCTCCGTTCCCATCCACTTAAAGCCTGAACACTGTTTTTCTGGATTGCAGACCACTCTAATTCCCCACTTCCCTCACTCCATACCACACACCCAGTTTCGTTCTACCACCTCTGCCATACAATTTTCTGTTAAAACAACAGAGGTCTTTATAAAAAGAAAAAAAAAAAAAAAAACTGTTTTAAGCCAAATACTTGACTTTTGAAAAGAATTCAAAAAACTCCTATGTCATGTTCTGGCCTTTAGTCAAGCTTCCCAGTATAGAATTTTAATGTTTTTATGCTTTCTGAACATTTTTAGTCAAGATACACTTCATTGATACGTTTTGATAAAAATTCTTCCCCTGTAAACTCACACCTTCAGATAAATAGTAAAAAGCTATAGTTGTGAAGCGATATCTGATGTGTTTTGGGGTGGAATGAAAAACGGAAACTAAAATATTAGAGACTTTTTTAAGATTTTATTTATTTATTTGAAAGAGAGAGCGCAGGAGCAGGGGGAGGGGGAGAAGGAGAGGCAGAGGGAGAAGCAGACTCCCCACTGAAGAAAAGAGCCCTACGTGGGGCTTGATCCCAGGAACCCAGGATCATGACCTAAGCCAAAGGCAGACATTTATCCAACTGAGCCACCTGGGCACCCCATAAAATATTAGAGATATTAAAATTATATTCAAGGATCATTCCCATTGCACTGGGCAGGTGTTTAGTAATCCAGTCCTCAAAGTCAGCAGGGATGAAACTATTTTCATGCATAAATTGAGTTGTACCCCAAAATATAATTCCCACAAGCCTGGCTTCCTCTTCTACCTAGGCTGGAATACCCAGAGTTATTAATGTATTCCTATAGAGGTATTGAGTTCTAACTGTGGAGTGGCAGCAGTAATATTGTTTTAA